AGTGATAGTTTCATAACCGGAAATAAACGACACAAATAATAACGTTAATGTTTTAGAGCTGTTTATGTTTCTTAAATTTTCAACTTGTATACTATGTTTTAATTTCTATAACGTTGCCGTTTAAACCCGAACCACACTGTGTAGTGTGCACCTAGTAGCAGATGTAATTGCAGTATAATCTAAGAAAAGCATTATTTTTTTATGGCGACAAATAAACTTATTAAGGAGTGAGACTATTACCACGTGTATAATATGGTGTCGTTGAAACGATTCGAACTCAAGACGGTTCCGTATCATGTTAACAGTTTCAAAAGTCGTAAAGTCACTAACACATTTTGAATGAAAAAACCGTTGCACAAGTAGTCTAAGAATCTCGATTGTTTTAAATGTTTATAAAAATGAGTTTCTAAACGGAATATATCAAATGGCCTGATTTTATATTATCACGATATTGTCTTATCAGATTTTACACCGGTTCGTATCATAATGTTCAGTTTATGTAATACTGGATCTATTATGAAAACTTAATAACGACACATTTTCATCAAAAATACAATGTTTACATATAGGTAAAAGTAATAGTTGACAATCAGTGTGGTATCTGAAGTTTTTCGAATGGATTCTCATGTATTATCTACGTTTGTGTATAAAAAAAAAAAAAAAAAATGTTTTTAACACATTTTAATAAATTTATGTTACTTAAACACAGAATGGGAGAGAGTTCAGAAACCCAAACCTTCCCCTAGTAAATTTATCGTGTACAATTGTGACTGCATCATCTGCGCGGTTGTAACAGTGACCGGAAAAAAAATAATTGAAATAACCAATCGAATTATAACCATAAATGGTAAATTTTAAAATTAAATGAAATGATTGCAATAATTAATTATTAAAAGCTTTTTTTTTTCGCGAAATTTACTATTTTAAACTAACCTAAAAAAATCACTAGTTATGATAATTTATACATTATTTCATTTAATCGTTTAAAGCAACACAAAACGGTTTGAGTATTTGCATATAAAATTACAAACACTTTCGTACATTGGTTTTTTTTTTATAAATGAAGTTTTGAATTATTTTTAAACGTTTTAATAGCACCATAATATAAACGCATTGTACACGTCGGCGATGATTGAAACTCTCGTGCAGAGCAATAATTAAGATGCCGGGACATTATCATCTTCGCGTCTTAGTCGTCGGGCCGAGCGCGGGATTATAGGCCGGACATTTTTTCGTACTCGCCCCCTCTGTATAGTATATTATGGAGATTAACGCGATTAAACTTGTTGATTTTACCGTAAACTAAGATATATAGGTACACCCCGTTATGCTGTTTATTGTTTAAACGTGTAGCGCGCGTCTTTGTACCAATGTAGAACGCGATTCGGCCGGGGAAAACTGATTGGATTGCCCCCTCAGTTTTATTTGGTTCGTCGCATCACTTGTTATATTTACCTTACACAAGCGTTGTCAATTAAAACAGTAATCATTACAGTTACAGTGTTTACAGTAAAGTTGTACACCTATATTCAGTTTTTCTGATCGAGAGCCGGATACAATAATGTATACATTATATTTGATTAGGATTTGTCGTGCGATATATTTTGCTATAGACCGCGGTAAATTTTTCACCAGTATTGCCCGCCGAATGAATCAAAAAGAATGGTTTTTCCTCTTAAAATGAAAATACTCACTACATTCTCGAATATAATCTTAACATTTAAAACACTCTTAAGTTTGACGGCCCGACGTGACACTTGTATATTATGTGTTTTTTTCCGTCTTATAAATGTATGCGACATAGCAAACATGTATTCGGCAGAGCCAACATTGCGCTGTTAGTTTATAATACCAGAGTAAATCGACATATTGATAAACTTCAAAATTAGAATATTATCTGTGAAAAGGTGGTTTTTTTTTTTTTATAAAAATTCGAATTTCTAAGAGCAATATGATTATGCAAAATATCACGATTAATAATGCTTCCATTCGGCACGAAAATTAAAATATCTAAAAAATATCGTCAACGTTGCACAGATAAAGTTCATAAATTATTAAGTCTTTAGTAATTAGGTGAATTCAATCTAATATCAAGGCAAACAGCACAACGTTTTCTGAGATGAACGCAAATTGTCTATGCCGTATGTTCATATAACGGAGAAAACACATGCGCGTATCCCGGCCTCTAAATACATATTTATTTTAAATTTTAATTTCAATACTCGTCGTATAATTTATCCGCGTAAACAAATCGATACCCATCTAGTGATGGCAAATTGGTTTTAGGAAAACACCATCACTTTTTACTCCTTTGGAAGTATTTTAGACGTTCTACTGTTGATTGATAAAAAACAATAACCAAAATAGATTTTGTTTTGGCCGTTTCTATATTATACGCGTGTTTTTCGGTAATTCGTCTGTTATTTCCTCGGCAACTAATACAAATTCCAAAACGACTCGTTTAAAATATCACGTAAGTTTGTTTTTCAATAATTAATATTCAGGCCCACTACGAAGTGCAGACGTTCTCCGGAAGTATTCATTTAGTTTGAAATAATGATCTTGGACTCGCGAAAACCCGAAACAAAAACAATATCAGCAGTCAATATTTCGGTTTCGCTCGCGGAAACTAAATTGTTGTCCAAAAACCAGCTAACCGCGCTATTTTACGAGAACTTTCTAATTACAAGACCATCGGTATTAATAGATATTTTGTTTGACGTATTGTTTAAGTCTATAATACAATTATAATTTTTATCTGGTTTCTTTGTCCGGATTTTCGTCAAGATTCAAGACATAATTGTTTTACACGGTCGGAAAAATAAAATAAATATCTGTGTTTCATTTATGAACTTTACAGTATATTACGTGAAATCTACCGGAACTACTTAAATTATTTTGATTTTGATAATGTTCTGATCGTTGGTTCGATAAAACGACCAAGAAAACGTTCATACGCTTGTGTGAGATTTAGTGAGAAAGTAGTGGTGCACTAATAAAACGTCACGCGCCACGCAAATGATATTCAACTTGTCTCCCCCCACCAAAATTTAAAAGCGGAATAATTCGTTAACGGGTTAACAGAAATCGAAAATTTTAACACCAAGATGTATTCGAAATAATACTCCGTCTATTTATGAAATGTTTAATATAGATTCTTATTTGAAAAACAAAAGTTTATATCACCACAGGATACTCCTTAAATATTGTTTGAAATCTATATATTCGAAATTATCGGCTTTAACTCCGCTTTAAAATTCCAAAAATCAAAATTTGAATATATCAGAAATGTATCAAAAAAAAAAAATGGAGTGAGCACGCTTAAGGAATCATCCTGTACAATAAATTCCGTGTATCTAACGTGGTTAAATAGTTAATACACAGTATAGAGTGGTTAAAGTATAAAGTTCGTTGAATTTATGCACTCCAGACGCTTTAATTCGGTATTCGAATAGTCTGGTGTCCCGTCTGTGGCGAGCAAACCATGTTACTATGATCTTTTAAATTTGATTTTGATATTTTTTAAGATCGTCCCCATGGCTAGAATTTAATAGTTTTGTTCGCGGATTGATTATTAATATTATTAAATTAATTATTATTACGGACCAAAGCGAGAAAATTGAGTATAATTCTTTGATTTTTTTTTTTTTTACGTGACAAAACCACACATTAGGTACTAAGGTTATTATTAAGCTAGCCGCCGAACAGATTGCAGATAACACGTATTGAGTACGTGCTGAGAATTAGTTCTAAACATACATGACGTACATAATAGGATTATATTAGTTACACGATTATCGAAAATCGATATGCAAACACAATATCTTACTGATATCACGACCAAATGTCAGTTAATTCATACATATTTTCGAATTTTGTACCAAAATATTTAAAACTTAATGTACGTTTTTATGTTTAGAGAAACGTTCAATGTAATATATGAGTTTTATATGTAAGCGTTAAAACATAGGTCATTGTTATACCTATTATAAATGAATATACAATATTATCCGGGCTCGAAACCGTTATCAAATTTAACGGTTTTGGTTTTGGTTTTAAAATCGGTTTTTGAAATTCTTCGGTAATGGGTTTTGGTTTTCGAAATTGATTGATCTCGATTTGGGTTTTAACTGGTTTGTAAAAATCGGTTTCAAGTTTTGAATAGTATACACTATTATTCTTTACTGCAGACTGATCTAATTTTTTTTTATTTGGCGGGCCAATTTGCACTTTTTTAAAAACACTGGAGCCCACAAAAAAAAGAAAAAAAAGTGATATAATTATTTTATATTTTATTTTACGTAATGCACAAATTATTACATTACAGATTAATACTAACATATAATTAAAGAGTATAAATAGTATAAACTACAAATATAAATCTATAAAATGTAAAATTTACACGTTCGCATTACGATTTTGTAATAATATTATTGTAATTTAATTTTTAATTATTAACCGAAAATAATTAATTTAATTGTGTAGGGATTGGCCAAAAAAAAGGTTTTGCAGGCCGAATGCGACCCGCAAGCCTCGGATTGAACCATCCTGCTTTACCGTAATAACTCAAAATTAGGAATCCAAATACTAAAATACTCGATAATCCATTTATAGTTTCATTATTTATGTGTTTATTAATATCTAGATACAAGATATGAGATACATATGTAACAAATATGCCGATAAAAGATAGTGGATAAAGTAAAATTAAAATTTTAATTAAATTTTTCACGCATCATTTTAATACCTTAAAAGTTTCACGACGATTTCCATACAAACACATTCAATGTTCAGTATTTTTCTAAAAGTTCAGCTTGTCACGCTTTCGGTTATTTATGGGCAAGGTACTTCAAAATGAGCATTTAGATATTTTTAACAAGTTACATTGATTTCTGTATAGCATAACAAAAAAAAAACTGATACCTACACTAATTTTATCTAAAATACATCCTAATGATACTCGAAGATACTGCCTAACCCTGCCGACTAATAGTAATACCTTATACAGTATATTTTGTGTTTATCTTGTTACAACCATTAGCCAAAAAGTTCGGGCATTTGACACACTTTACAGACCCGGCGACTGGCTGATAAAAACCTTTGCTGCATTTCAAACAGTCTGCCGATTTGTCCGGGCTATAGTGATGTGGAGGACAAGCACTACAGAAGACTTCCCGAATTCCAAAACCAGGTTTACAGGAAACAAATTTGTTTACAATCTTCCGAGTGAGATCCGATTTGAAATACGTGTCGATCAAGGAATATTTTGACTGAACTGTAAAAAAAATTAAAAATTAAAAAATTATAATATTAAAATACATTGAAAATACGAATGCCTATTATATTTTTATATTATTAGTTGAAGCTATATTTTTTTTACTTTGAACTGCCAATGTCTTGTTCAGGTTTCCAACTAAAACGTTCGATATTTTTGCCAATAGTTTTTGGTAAAACAAGGCGTTCTGACCTTTTCTGCTGGTTCTGACACGAGTCAAGTAATTAGCTTTATCGTTCAACGTGACCGCATACTTGATTTCCAACGAATTCTGTTAAATACATTTGTTATATCATGTACAAATGTCAACATTTTAATTTAAATTGAAAGGATCGGTGCTACAATTAAACATGTCTACTATTTTTTTTAAAATAAATATTTTGGCTAGTTTAGAGTCAAATCAAAAATGCTACATAATTTGGCGCAATAATAATGCGAGGTTCAACCGAATCTTGGGCAACAAAATGAAAACTCCCATGTTTATATGTGTCCTTTCTGATAAATATTTTTAAAAAGTTTTCTACATTTTGGCATAATCTGGTGAAAAGGTTGTTTACTGATGGAAAAAAAGAACTGCACCATACATAAAATTCCATAGGAAAATCAACACATTGTTTGCTACACATTGTTTGAATTTAAACTAAATATATATGTAAGCAAAAACTTTAATTTCAATTGTGTTATTAGTGATTTTTTTTTCCCTAAACTGTTAATTAAGTATTGCATAATGTTTGAAATTTGCTTTAATTGTTATATGATAAGGCCCACTCTCTGGTTAGATATTAATAATTGTTCCAATGGATGCGAATGTTTTTTTGTTTTTGTTGTTGTCTTATTAACACTGTTTTTTACTATTTCGATTCTAGAACTACTAAATCTACATCTAATAGTGTGGATTATAATTATTTGTTTGATACAAAAAAAAAAAAAAATAGAAAAATCGGTATACTTCATTTTTCAAACATTTTGACGATTCCACAACGACGTTACACGCGTGCTGTGACGATCCTTCTGGACATATTTCGTTTTGCATGAAACCCGGTAGCTTTTTTATCATTGGATCGATTATTTCTTGTACACAACCGCTACCGCTATCGGTCTTGTAAAGCGCTGTACCCAAGATCTCGTAAATGGGTTTGTCAATAGCTAGGTATAATAACAAAGAAAGTTTAAGTATATGCGTCAAATAAGATCTATTTCATGTTTGTGTACTTGTCTAAAGGGAATACTACTCGTTGTAGTCTGTAGCTCGTAGAAAAATCAGTGAGGCATTTTAAGAGGAAGGATTAGGGAGATATATCATAGCTCTTTCATACCTTTTTATTTTTTGTACCTATATATCATATTCGTACGCAGTATTATTTTTATTCTTTGAATTAAAATTTATTTTGATGAACTTGCAAAGAAAAACGGTAAATAACACAATATAGTACTCCTTCATGGGTGCTACACAAATACAAATATATTAAAGTTAACCGATTTTAGATTCTGAGCGTAATTGGTCTTACGGTGATGTTATTTTTTTTCGTTTTTACAATTTTTCCACCAGAAATATTGCTTCTATCTATTTGGTGCTTTCAGGAAGTCGTTTTAGATGATTCTCCAAGCGGTTTTCATAATAATTTGAGAAACCGGAGGAAAAAATAGGAAAACGGGCAAATGTTTGAAATTTTTTTTTTTTTTTTTTGGTGTAATCCAGTTCAAAATATTCTTAGAAACTTAAAATTTGAATAGAAAATTCTACTTTTTTTAGATTTAGTAAGATGTTCTCAACAGTTGAGCCATTTCTGGGCTTTTTATAGACATTAGAATTTTGTTCACTCTGTAAATAACACTGTTAGGCTATCAGAAATGCTTGAAAATTTAACAAAATATTTACTATAAGTCATACTTAATGGTAAAAATAAAAAATATTTAAATTTAATTTAATTTAGATTCTTTTTTTTTATATATATAAAAATTTTAGTATCAAACTTTGTTGAAAAACGTAAATATTATGGCATCTTAAATTATGTTTAACTGATCTTTGCTTCGAATCGTTTTTAAAAGAATCGTACAAATTTATATTATATATATTTACTTCTATATAACTTACCTTCTCAACTTCTTCCTTACAAGAGTGGCCTACCCTTCATGCATAGTATTTCTTTCTTTTTAATAATATTTACACTTTGTAAAACATGACACAGTTTTTAAAATTCTCCTCCTCCCCTTAGATAAAATCCTAAAATGCTTTTTCAGTTTTATTTACTTTTTTTGTTTAAAATTTTAAATAACAATTTTTTTTTGTCTATAATTGATAAAACAATAAATCTCTTTAGGTGGGTTATACTAAATTAAATCTATCGATTTTAACTTTCATATTTGTTAAAAATGTCGGAATATATAGGAAAAAATCATAAAAACTCACTACTATATAGTAATAATCAATAATTATCTACCAATAACGTAATGCGTGTAAGCATTTTTTCGGGAACTTAAACCTTTGATCGCCTCTGTTGTAGGTACGCATGTGTAATTTTTGCTATCTTCCGATCTTAAATTCAAAATTGACAGATTATTCGTATCTGTACCGGTGATTGTAGAATCTGAAAAAAGGCAATATTGAAATGAAACAGCGTCTTTTATAAGGCTTAATTTTTTAATAAGATTATACTAGACTAGAATAAAAAGCCACATTTTCCGAAAATTGCATAAATACTTAAGCGATAATGTTTCATAGAACATTTGAAGGTGAATTAGATTTTGCGTTCAATTTGTTTTAAAACTCACAAACAGGTCTACATTTATGTGAAATGTAGCCGTTTGTATCTAAACTAATAAGTTCTATTGGATTATGTGAGTTCTGATTCTAGCCTATTAAATTATAAAACTTCGGGCCATGTTGGATAGTTCTATAATAGTCTTACTCGATTTGACTTTTTCTTTTTTATATTGCCATTTAAACGCATTTATTCCCGTCTTATTGGACACACATCGGATTTTAATGTCACTTCCCAACTTATAATAGTGTACACTGAAGTGATCTAAATAAAAATAATAATTTATCAAAGCGTTTAATGATTGGTGTACACACACAGTAGATAAACGAGTACGTGTGTTATACGGTTAGCTATGCAAAGAGACGAACCAATACGAGTACAATACACTCGTATACTTGTTTAGTCGTTGTTGGAAAGTGAAATTGCTCGAAAGGAAAATGCTAGTATGGACACAAAAACATTAAGTAATTTTCTTCTTTATAATATTACGTCGCTATTCGATGTCAAAGTAACGTTTCCTAATCATATATTTATAACTTAAAAACCCAATATAGATATTGCATATTTACACAACATGGTATTTTTAGTTTTACTATGATGTGTGTTTTTATTTATTAACTTTTCTATCTGTAAACATGACTTTCCGCTAGAACTAATATTGCAGTAAAATACTTTATAATTGTGTTGTAGTGTTTTTGATCTTGTTGGTGCATTCAAGTAGATGCTGATTGGAGCGAAGAATGTATTGGTTTTACTATACACTCGATGCACAATGATAACATATCTTCTAAAAGGAAATCGGACTGAAAAAGCACTTAAGGGTTGTCGTTTTTAGATTTTTCCATGAGTTTTGCCAATAAATCGGAAAACCCGGGAAAAAGATGGGAAAATCTGAAAAAACGTAGAAAAAACCGGAAAATAGGTAAAATCTAAAACAAACAATATTAAAGAAAATATATAATCCCTTTTTCATATTTTTACCATTATATGACATTATTGACAAAGCAACACTATCAAGTGAACTCCGCTCAGATTCGTTTTTTCGTTAGCAATGGTTAATTGTTGCGTACACATGTCCATTGAATTAACCTTCTACTACCTTGTTAACTCCTCACCTACAAACAGTGGCCCACCCGCGTGCGAAGTATGTCGGCCTTTTTTTATTTTACTTGTTGTCTCCCCAATACATATACGGTAAAACAGCTGCTAATTACTTGTAAAACTATTATGAATTTCTGGGTTACCAAACAAAAAATATAATACACATGACTAACGGTAATACTTTATTTTTCGTTGGCAATAGTTTATATCAGTTCAAATCGTTTGCACACATTTGAAATGTTTTACCTGTAACTCGACGACTGGTTCGCGTGGAATCGACGACGACGGCAAATGCCGACGTTAAAATTAAAAAGTTGTTAAATAACGTTTCCTTCGCGTTATTATCGGCGTACACTAAGTACGTGTACAGATTACAATAAGATAAATGTGTGCAAACGATTCGTAAAACTGGTAAATATGCGCGAACGGTTTGTATCCTATCGTCTACGTCACCGGGTACATAACAAAACAGTGACACGCCCGTCGGCGGTATCGGCCGTTCCGTTTCCGGCTGCAGACGATTTTCGTCGAAAACACAACTCACCGTCTTTAGACTTTTCTAGTCGGTAGTTGACGACATAATCGAAATCCACTTTTTTCCGCGACGGAGCCGCGGCCACGTCCGCGGTTTCGTTTTTGTTTTTCCGATCGGATATCTGTCCCGATAGGCGAACGGCGGTCGCCGTTGACGGCGGCGGCCAGGGATAAACGACAAACGCCGGCGGGACGGTTTTGTACGACGGGCACGCGAACGCGGCCACCGCGGCCGCCGTATCGTCTCGGACCAGCTTCGCCTCGTCCAACAGTTGGCCCACCGAGTCCAAAAAGTCCGTCATGTAACACACGCACGGTCGCCCGTCGCTGGCCGACACGCAGTCGTTTTCGTCGCCGAAAACTTTTCGCCCGCCGCGGGGAGCGGCCGCACCGCTATGCGTCGTCGTCCGCGAAACGCCCCGGTCGCTGGTTTTGCTTTGCCGTCCCGCTTCCTGGGTCGCGTTACTCGGGCGGACGGTCGCTCGGCGCCGGCCGCCCGGTGGCCACGACGCATTCGACTTGCCCGATGGCGTCCGCGTCGGTTTCCATTTACGCGCTCGCCACTGAGCACCTCCGGACGACTCCGACGACCGCCCCGCGTATTTCGCCGTATCGTTCTGCAATTTACGGTCGCCCTTGCCGCCACCGCCGTGACATTTCGCGGCCGGCGGCCAGGACGAGCCCACCATTGCAGGCTTATTGTGTCCGTCCAGTCGTTTGGCCATTTCGCCGTCCCATTCGCAATCGTATTCCGCGACGTTTCCGCCGGCCCGGGCGAAATTCGTTACCCGACCAAATATCGTGGTCACCGAACATATCGTCCAATACCCGACGACAAACAACGGCCGAGGATTAAAACAAATCATCGTTTTTATACGACGCTATCCTAGGGAAAAACTATTTTTACACTTTGTAAAAATACAAAAACAACGAACGTGACAATTGCTTTGGCGATAAATACACAAAAAAAATATTTTGATAACGCCGTGCGATATTATTGGAAGGAACGTTTATTTGTTTATTTTGTTTTATTACGATTTGCGTACGCGTGTTCGAATCATAGAGTAACAAATGACGTTTGAAATTAAATTGACGCGAAAACTGTCTCGTGTAAGCATCGATTCCATTCTTCATAAAACAAACTGCCATTTTATTGTTTTAAAAATAAATCGAAAATCATTTTATCGATTATTTATGTTTGACCATTATCATTGTGTAAATTATTTACTCTATGTGATTGAACTATAATATTAATTGTCTTATAATTAGAGCCCGGAGTTATATTCTGTTATTATCCACAAAAAGGCGTTTACAAACAGCAAAAAAGCCCGGGACAAAAAAAAAAACATTTAAACATTTTTAATGATGTAAAAATAACAGAGGGGTGTTAAGGTCCCTCTTTAATGACTGTAAGTTATTAAATTAAATTTCTTAACACTACAGACATTATTAACACAAAATTATTTCTATTAAATAAAATCGTATGTATATAAAAAAAAAAAAATTACTTTTTATTTATCATTTTCGTGGCGTTAGAAAATTGTATTTATAAAATAAATCCATTAGAGGGGGACTATTAAACCCCTCTATTATTTTTGCGTTTTTTATTTTATTTTTAAGTGATTTCTTTTTTTTTTTTTTCGAGCCTTCTTGACGTTTCAAGAGTTTTGTAGATTTTAAACATGTTCCTGAACTATTTCTACGATCGGTCAAAAAAAAATCGTAATATTTTAACTCTTTGGTGTGTTACATTGACGGGTGGGAGGGGGGGAACCACTGTTATTTCGGAAATCGTTTCGCAAGTTATTACCCATACCAACGACTCCCGCGGGACGAACAACCTAACAATATAAGTTGTATAATTTCGATGTAAAAACGTCGTCTTGGGAATGAATATGCAATATATTGTTGGATATTATATCGCGATAATTCGTTAATATTAAAATATCCATCAGACGGGCAAATCGACGGTTATCGTTGAAACACTCGCGGACGTTACACGTTTAAACGTACTCGCAGTTATTATACTCGTTTATTAATTTATCGTTTGTACGGCTGTCTATCTGTACGAAAATTTTTTTGATTTTTGGTTTTCGGTTTTTTCAGATCTTATTTAAGTTTATAGTATGGGCCTTAAACGAAATATTTCGAAATTACACCGATCGTGAATGTGTATCGTGTTTTGTCTAGTTATTTGTTTTGATATACTTTACTATTCAGACAAATGGGAAATTATACTTGTACGAAAATCCGAGACGGACAATTAAATTATAAATTAGTTTAAAACAGTAATAATTAATAAGTATTATTTATTATTCGTATCAAATAAAAAATGTATACGAATAAATGTATAAATAAATTATTAAGTTATTACGTCAATCGCGTGACCTTTTTGAAATTTGGTTGTGCCGTTATACATAGTACACTTTTGTCACTTAGATTTATGATGGGCAACGCACACAAATTATGTTCTTTTTTTTTTAGATTGATAATTGTTGCGGATTGTTTGTCCTTAGTTCAGTAATGAAATGTTTTTATGACGTGTCATTTACGCTTAACCGGATAATTATTCTAGCAATTGTCTACTCTTGGTTTCACGTAGAGATATTCGAAAATATATCTTTATACACAATATACTGTCCTTTTATTATGCGAAATTCGATTTCGTATTCGCAAAAAAAAAAATAAAAAAAAAAAAAGAATAATAAAAATAAATAGGTTAAACGAACCCTACGCCTAACAGCGGCCCGTACCTAAAATGATACATTATTTCATTTTTATATAATATGATATTTGTTTTCTTTTTACATTTTCGTTTATTTTTCGAAAACCGGAAATAAAAACGGGCATAATATGTAAAACGAAAAAAATACGCACTTCAAAATCGAATAATTTAAATTGTCAACGATACACGCATGCGCGCGTCGTCGTCGCGCGAACAACAAAATTTAACGTGTGATCCCGCCGCACTGTTTACTGTATTGTAATTATCATAATATCGTTTCCCTAGGCGAACGTGATTAAAGGGTACCGTGCCGCTCGTACGGTACGTACTCGACGTAATTATAACTGTATAATTATCCCGTTGATACGGTTAAGAACATTGACCGCGTAAACCGCTAGATATTTGGTTAATGTATTTCCTTTTAAATATGCGCGGAGACTTGACATTTCGACAGAAAATCTGAATTTCTCTCTACTAGACACATTGTGAAATTATCAAAACATGTCGGCTATTATTTTGTCTACTTATGTGCATTTTAATTTTTGCGAGTTTTCTACGTACACTATATGTTCTCATTGGATAAAATCGTTTGTCTAAACAAAACCGGTTACAAATTTGACGGAAGATTCGGTTCATTGTGAGCAGTACTTAGTGGCGGTATATTTTTTTTTATACGATTTTAAAAATCAATTTTTTACGAAAACCATAAACATTACGGTCTTTCAAAACATTTTTAACTGAATCTCATTCCAAATCGTTTTTCGATAACACTGGCTTATCATTGTTTACTGGTATAAATCAAATAACTTTATTTATTCCACCTTCCCGACTACCCATCTACAATAGTGTTTCTCAGTATCGTGAGTTTTTTCTTTTACATTTTTTTAAATGTAAGAGATAATTGCTAAAATATAGTTGTCAAGATCAAGATAAGTAATCAGGAGCATTTGTCTATATATAAAAAAAAAATATAACTTGTTTCCATACGCTATTATAAATAATATTGCTTAAGTTGATAAAAGTGTACCAGATTCGGTTCCCGTTTAGATTTCCCATTAAGATTGTGTGTCAGACGCACTTATTTAAATTATTTATTTATTAAACCATAATAATATATTTACGTATAAATTATAAATGTTTTTCTTTTCATTTTTAATAAAACGCGATTTAAAACGATTTATCTACACGGTTCAATTGTATAATATTTTATTACACAACTGTTCAGATAGCGTATTTCTCATTACTCTAAAATTGGATAAAAGATAAAAGACAATGTACCGAAACAGATCATTTACTTGGATGACAGACGACACGCTGCATTAAGAGGTTAAATTTCGAAATAAAAAATCGCGAACGGGATTTCTTTTGAACGCGGAGCGTGCGAAATTCCACCGAAGTCGAAATAAAACGTGTAATGCAGCAGCAGACGGAGACGGACGGGCGGAATTTCGATTTCTTACGGATAATCGCGAGATAAACGTCGCATTGCCTATGTTCTAGAATGCAGAAAAAAACGTTAACAATCGTTACGGGCGCCCGGTTTACAGTATTTTATTTACGATCGCCCGATATCCGCGAACCTTCCCGAGTGTCCCGGAAAATTCTGAAACCGCGCGCCGTCCGAGAACGTCGGCGACGCCGAACGGCCGTGTAAACGCGACCGTCACGGCCGCGGACGATCTTCGGCCGCCGTTAGACGACTGCGCGCCGGGTCTTTCGTCGGGCGATAAGTTTCCGGGAAAAGCGAAAAAAATACGAACGGACTATACGTCCTCCGAAACGGACCTCGCGCGGCGCACGTGACGCGTTTCGCCCGTTCGCGCGACGGCGCCGTCCGTCCGCGGCGCGCGCCCGTTTCGCCCTCTAAATTGGCGTCTCGCGCCCTCTAAATTGGCGTCTCGAGCCCTCTAAATTGGCGTCTCGCGCCCTCTAAATTGGCGTCTCGCGCCCGCGCCGCGCCGTCTCGCGCCGACCGCCGCGGAACCCGACGGCGGACGGCGCGCGTTCGCCCGGACCGGCGGAATCCGACTTTCCGGCCGCCCGCCGTGATAACGACGTTACCGCGGCACACGTGACGCCCGTTCGCCGCCCGGGGACGACTCTGACAACGACGCGGATCGCCCGGTCCCGGGGACATATCCGCTCGTCATCGCGACGCGGCCTCGTAATACCGCGGGCCGTAAACGTTACGCGGTTACGGCGCACGTTGCGCCGGTGTCGTTGTGTTCACGCGTTCGCGACGTGTTACAATACGCGCGGCGCCGAACGCGTGCGCGGTATTCGCATTAACGTGTTGACGGGTTTAAAAAGACGGAAAAAAAAAAAAACGTCTCCGTGACTTCATTTCGCGCACCCTCCCCCCCCCCCCCCCGACACCGTTCTACGCCGCGTCGCCCCGTCACGGCGTTTCCAGGCCTTCCGAAATATTTACCGCCCGTCATTTCCGAATACCTACAACTCTACCTCACCACCACACCACCCCCCCCCCACTCCGCCGCGACCGCGAAATTAATCGAAATTCAAAAGCGAATTCGTCGACGACGGCGTACGTTATGCGCGCGCATTCCGCGTCTGTCTATGTGATTGCTTATCCGTGAAGAAAAAAAAAAATGCATTTTTCCTAATAATAAAACGCATATATCGGGTATACTCTCGCGTATAATAATACAAATAATTTGTATTATATCATTATTTTTTATTCGATTCCGGCGTACAAACGAGATATTCGAGAACATATAACGATCAAAGAATTTTCTAAATTTAAAAAAAAAAAAAAAAAACGGGCGTCCTCTATAATAATAATTCCATCGGGTATAGTTTTTTACGACTCTCGAAACCGTATATGATTATAATCGGATTACGAGCCCGTTTTGTAACTCTATTGCTCAAAATTGACAATTTAGAAGTAGCTATGTATAGTTCTATTTTAGCTCGAAACGTTAATTTTACGCTAGATTTAAGAACAGAGAAAATATATGGTTTTTTTTTCTATCGAAAATTTTGATTAAAATTACAACCAAAAAAGTTAGAAATACTATAAATTGAAAACTCTACACAGTATAAAATTATTGTCTAACACCGCGTGAATGATTTTTTTGTGGGCTTTTCGTTCAGTTTTCTCCTATAGAATAACTTCTCGAC